TTTATCACTTTAACTTTATTAACATGCATTTAAAAAAGGGCTTAACTTATAATTTTGCAATAATGTGAGGCTTAAATTATCTATATATATAGATATATATATTTTAACATAGAAGAATGATAAATTTTCATATAATTGTTAACTATTTAAAAATTTTAATAATAATTTTTTTCGTTGAAAATAAAAAATTTTAAAATTAAATTACATGACATACAAGTGAGATTGTGTAACCGACATAAAAAAAAATATTTCTTATAATTATTTTTTTAAGAACAAATTTCAATCAAAAATAAAAATAATTATTACATCATGCGTATCTAAAACTTGCATGTCTTGATGTATGAAACAGATACCAAGTGTATGGTAGTCAACTGTAATAAGAGTACAAAGTACAAACAAAAACTACAGTTTGGTTCAGAGAATCCCATCTACAATTCTTCTCCAACTGACCACGGCGTGTCAAAATGAACCGGAATTCACTTCCACCGGCTGTGTGTGCACTTACGCCTGAACAACGAGTTGGAAAAGCAAGTTCCTTTCTACAACTGTAATAAGAGTACAAAGTACAAACAAAAACTACAGTTTGGTTCAGAGAATCCCATCTACAATTCTTCTCCAACCGACCACGGCGTGTCAAAATGAACCGGAATTCACTTCCACCGGCGTGTGTGTGCACTTACCCCTGAATAACGAGTTGGAAAAGCAAGTTCCTTTCTAGAAACCCAGATCGCCATTTCACTCCCACCCACTCCTCTCCCCACCTTCTTTCCCTTTTTGCTTCAAAAAAATCAAAACTCTCTCCTCCTTCGGTGACAAAGCAGACATGGCCTTTCCATTTTTTACTGGCCGTATTACCTCTCTCACACTCATATTCACTTTCCTACTCATACTCTCCTCATCCTCCTCCTCCTCCTCTACCGCCACCATAGACATCACCACCCTCCTCTCTTCCTACCAAAACCTCTCCTCATTCTCTTCTCTTTTATCATCCACTTTTGTCACCGCAGACCTTAACCACCGCAATTCCCTCACTCTCCTTGCCGTCCCCAACCCCTATCTTGCTTCCTCCTCCGACCTCACCCACCGCCTGTCTCAATCCTCCCTTGCCGACCTCCTCCGCTACCACGTCCTCCTCCAGTATTTCTCCTCGTCCGACCTCCAGAAGATCCCCCCTTCTGAAGTCCTCGTCACCACTCTCCTCCAGACCACCAGCCGCGCCCCATCTAACTTTGGCTCCGTCAATCTCATCCGCAACCCCGTCACCGTTTTGTCCGTAATCAAAACCCTCCCTTACAACATCACAATCCTCGCCGTTAATTCCCTCCTCGTCCCCTACGGATTCGATCTTGTTAGTTCCATAACAAGACAAGGACTTAATCCTTAGTCTTCACAACAAAAAGATAGTAAAATATATCCTTGTCTTGTCTTGTTTGTTTAATACAAAAAAACAAAAAGATAGTCAAATATATCCTTGTCTTGTCTTGTTTGTTTAATACAAAAAAACAAAAAGATAGTCAAATATATATCCTTGTCTGGTTTCAATTTACTTTGCCATAAGAAATTTACTTGTAGAAGACTTTTATGTCATCACCTTTTAGATCCTGAGTTGGTGATGAATATTTAAACAAAGAAGACAAGGACTTCATCTTTAGTCTTCACAACGAGAAGATAGTCAAATATTAGGTGCACATCATTTTCCCCGATGGAGCCGTTATATACATTTTCCCAGGAATGTAGAAACTAGAAAGCTTTCGTTTTTTTTTTTCTTCTCTTCGTCTAATCGTCTTCATCTTCATTTCGGTCCATTGGACTTGAGGCCCCTTCGGTCTCTTAACGGGCTGCCCTTTTACTCTAAAACATAAACCCAGTTTGGCCCAAGCTGTATGAGAGTCGGGTAAAGAAAACGGCTCAAGATTGCACTGTTTGACTGAGTACGAGCAGCCAGTCATATAAACCTCTTCTCAGGATTGACCCGCAATCTCGTGTTCCCTATAAACTAAAATCTGTGTAGGTGTTTCTTCAAAATATTTGAGCGGCACCACTCGCATGGCTTGTTTAAATGCAGAGCATGTCACTTACTTTATTATAAAATGAGAAAGTAGGATTCTTATAATGATTTTTCTATGCGGTTGATTTTTATTAGAATAGTTAAAAGACTATTGATTTAAAATTGAGTTTTATACCTTTAAGCGATTTATAGGAGGAGGGGATATTTTTTTGTAAAATGAGTTATTGATCTACCTTGAATAATTCCAAGTACTTTAAAATATCATCATTAATTAAAAACTTAAAGATCCATGATAATCGAAATAAGTGAAACAAATGAGTCTTCATCTAAATATACTAACAAATTTGACTAACAAAAAACTAGTAGATTAAACTAAATCGTTACAGAACTAGAAAAGTAAATAGGCTTGAAATTAGAATAAAACTAAGTAATCATGATGATTAGGCAAAGAAGATTAAAAGTAACATGAACATGAATGAAAGGTTAGAAAGCCATATAAATTGACATTTAAGGAAATGATATTTCTCTCAAAATTACTAAATAAACAAATAGATTAATGTAGAAGTTAGAACTAACCTCATTATGACCGAAGTTGCACTAAAGCTAAGGTCTGTGAACTGTGTGAATAGTACTTAGGAAACTAGAAAACTAAATTTGTTGAGTTGTGTGAAAGGTTAGTCATGTCTTACTTACTCTGAATTTTTCTTTTACGTCATGAGGTAGATGATAACCACCCACTTCCATTTGTGCAAAACATAGCAAACTTTTTGGGTAGTTAGACAACTCCGCAACAAATTTGATCAAAACTTTCTCCGGAACTCACCACTTGTCTACTACCTCACCCACTTGCTGAACTTGGTCTGCGTCTTCTAAAATTTAGCCATGATCTCCATTAACGTTAAATGCTACTAAATAAATAGAAGATAACTGTAGAAAACACTAAGCTTATGTTTGGATAAAAATTAATAAAGGAAAGGAATGGGAGGGGAGGGGAACGAAAGGGAGGAGAAGTGTGAAGGAAAGGAAATGGTCGATATTAATTTTGTTTAGATAGATAAAACTAAAGGAGAAAGAAGGATAATATATTTATTTAATTAAATAATTTAATAAAAAATAAAATAAAGAAGAATAAAATTTTTAAAATTTACTAATTAAATAAATAATTGAAATAAAATGTATATATATATATTTAAAAAAAAATTAAAAACAAAAATAAATTAAGTAATATAATCCATCATAATTCCTTCAAATTAAAGGGATTGAAAATTAAGGGGGGAGGAGACTCCGTCTCCCTCTATCTCCCTCCTCTCCATTAAAATTATTTATCCAAACAAGAGAATGTGCTCTCTCTTCTCTTCTTTCTCTCCTTTCTCTTCAATTTCCTCAATCCAAACAAAGTCTAAATTTAGTTGGACATGTGGTAGCTATCAATAAGGTTTGTCATGCTCCAAATTATAACAATATGAAGTCTAACGTGGCTTAATCATAATCACTAATTCAAATAATATGACACATGGCATCATTAAATTAAATATATTTGCAATTTATGATAAAAACAATAAGTTTCTCTCTATTTGTGCAATTTCTGAGGTTTTATTGAAGGACGAAGAAGGAAGAATGCCAGGGTTACCTTGAACGAAACTAACAAGGAACTCAACGATGATTTGGAGGAAACACTTCTTTACAAGTCCGATTGGCACTGCTACATTCTCACGGCTTTCATTAGATCCTCATTAATTCGTTGTTCTTCTCTCAGAACTGTTCTCGAGCAACTTCACTACAATCTTGAATCCACTGGGAAACTGCCCTCTAAAAACAATCCCAAGTGCTCCAGATCCCAACTTGGTCGAGTAATTGCTGGTAAAGGCACAGAGATGCTGCACATGCATCATCCTCCCAAACTTGAACCGCATGTTGCGGCTGACTTGTCCGAGTAAGAACACAAACAATTGCAACGGATATACAATAACCAGGTGATTCCTAAAATCAAGGACATTTC